GTGAAAATTTTAGTTGAAAAAAAAACGCGTTTCTTGCGTTTTTTTAATGAGCGTTACTGACTCACAATCGCGGTTCGCTTTTGAGCGTTTAAACGCATTTTTCCAAATGTTTGTCTGCTTGGGTATTTTATGGATGCAGTACAGTCTATGTTGAGTTCTCTAAAATCAGTCTTCTTACTATAAATTTGTATTTTACATGGTTTAATAAATAAAATCTACTTTTATTAGTAACTATTACTTAAAAGCTCAAAGACTGTCTTTGAATAAAATAGAGTTTGATTTGTTATAAATAAATAAAAGCATAGCGTCCACTTCAAAAACGTTGAACTGAACAGAAAAAATGTTACAGTTCATAAAAACATTCTGTTTGAGATGCACGAAGTTACTCAAAACTTGAGATGAAAAATTTATATTAAATTATAATCGCTTGTTTCTTTGTAGACATACGATGGTTTCCTGCTTTTCTTGGGGATACCCCCTTCTTTTTCTGCTTTCTGGGCAAATCTAATTTTCTGACATGTTCTTTTATGGATTGTCTCGAAAACTCTGGTTTCTGTTGGAGTATATGACATGTTGATGAGTACAATTAAAAAATCTTATACTCTCACATCTATTAGGAGTCATGACTTTACAGCAAAAAGTTCCTTAATTGTGATAGAACTGGTTTATATCCTTAATTATAAGGCGGTTAGAATAATACTAATCATATTGAAGCATTAAGCACTTAACGGCAAAAAACAAGATTGAAAAATCTGCTGTTTTTTTGCTTTCTTTTTTACTCTAACCCAGAGTTGGGCAAGTGAAGTCAAAAATGCCGCAAGTCCAACTCAAGACATGTCAAGTCTGACTTTACTTGACTTGAGACTTGAAAAAGTCCTGACTTGCCCAGCTCTGTCATAATCGGTCGTTGATCGTGCGTAGATTGGAAGAATATATTAGTTCATCATGAACGGCAGACTGTGAGCAGTTTACTCACCTCGACCTTCTCCACAGTTAAATAGATACCGCTATGACATATTAATACGAAAAGTACTGCAGGGTTTTAGTCACTATTGTATGAGATACAGAACAATGGCAACAGGTTTACTTTCGCATATTTCTGCGTCAGTCAGTTTGTTTTGTTCTATACATTATCTATACGGGAATTGACCTTGCGTCTTTCCACCTGCTTCTAATATAAAATTACAATGAAGAACTAACAAGAGGAAAATGAAGAGGATATCTCATTTCGCATATACATGTCTTTCAGTTCTCTTTCTTTCCTATCGACGCATTGATACGAAAAAATGTCCGTACATGTGGTATCTTATGTGGAAAGAACTATCTCCTTATTTGTTAGGTTCCTGTTATTCACATGTGACTATCTTGTTTACGTTATTCACTCGTGGATAACGTCCGGTTTTTAGAGATTGATCGATATTAGAGAACTAGCAAATAAGGGCTCAACGCGTCGGTCAAAAAGAAAGAGAACAGAAAGATATGCATATGATATGCCAAAAGAGATATCCCCTTATTTACTAGTTCTCTATCCTTTTTATACTACTAAAATGATATTAAAGCAGTGGGTGGAAGAAATGTCTTATTTGTCTCAGTTATATTTCCCCACAGTAAAAAACTGTGTCCACATACTTTAGTAAATTATATATATTTACACGCGATTTAATGTTTTTTATCCGGCATGCAGCGCATAAGCAGAATAAACGCGAAGAAATAAGATGCAAAAAGGAAATTCTCATTAAGTTTCTTTTAGTTTTGTGGAAGAGATCAACGCTAAAAGTAATTTTTAGTTTTAATTCGTCTCAAATCCCCTCTCTATCCAATTTCAATAAAATGTTGATCTTGAAATGAGATGTCGAGCAACTTTTATTTGAGCGATATTCAATTCAGTGACAGGTCTTTTGCGTTCAAAATGAGCTATAATGGAAAGACTAAGATGACGTTTTGATCAAAAATCTTATTATGACAATAACTGACAGTGTGGTGCAATAGGTATTTGTTGCATTGCCGTAGAATACCTACAATAGGATCCTATTACATGACATGGTTCTTCAAGTGTCAAAATCAAAAAATTAGACAAGGTCCTACTATTAACGCAAATTTTTGATTTTCTATGCTGATTGGAACGATTTGTTCGTACTATTTGATCTTAAAACTAAAACTCGTTTTAGCCATATTCGATGCATTTTCCTCAGAACAATGTTGTGTCTTCTGGCGTTAATACAACTGAACAGATTCGAAATATATTCGCGGAAATTCAATCTCAGTTGCCAAGTGTTGTGTTTGATAGTGACGATGACGAAGAGAAAAACGATCTGAACAATGATTCTGACAAAATAGATAATTTCGAAGCCGTATGTGTTCAGAAACGTTTTCTGAACAAACAAATTAAATAACACTGACTTTTTTTTATTTTTGAGAAGAATGAAATTCAGCAGCAGTGCATCACACATGATATACTTGACAATGATTCTCGCTTATTGAATCCTTATCCTGATGATCTTTTAGAATCTTTACTGAAAAACTACGACTCATTTTTATCGATTCATCCGAGATCAGCAAATGATGCAAATCAACAATTGCCAAGTGTTGACCTACAGACGAACGCATCATCGAATATACTACAAAAAGATATATCGAACGAAAATTCAACAGTCAACAAATCACAAAAAACATCTAATCATTCTCAATCTCTTTCAATGGATCTATTGAAAAACATTGATTTTGGTAAAAATGAGCAAATATACAATTCGTTAACTGATGCATTATCATCATTTTATTTTCAGATAAGTTAAATATCACATGTGATAGACAAAATGATCACGAAATTAACTTTTCCAGGCCAGATCCACAAGAAACTAGTGAGTAGATGGTGAATGTAATTCATTTACTAACGAAGAAACTATAAAAATTTTCAGCTATTTATGGAACATCATCATCTGATGTTGTATTACAGCGATTAGTACAGCACGCTTCAAAATTTGCCCACGAAAGTAATGCCCATTCAACCAATGTTTTACCACAGTCACGTAAGAATAATATATTTATCCTGAATTTTATCATGGAATTTTATTTAACTATAGACACTGGATTTAAAAATCTTGAACGTGCACTGCGAGAAAACAATGAACAAAATACACGCCAAAAACGAACAATAATACCTGAAACTGAAGTATATCTGTGTCAATCAAAATATTCAACTAAAAAATAAAAATTTTTATTTTCTTTAGCGTAAAACAATCTTCCTCGATTTACGTCATTTAGAAAAAGAAAAGAAAATTAAAGATGAAAAGAAAATATCCGTGTCAGTTTTTAATCGCACTTTACAGGAAAATCCTATAGAAAAGCCAACACTGAAATCTGATAATAATAGTTCCGATGATGATAACAATGATGAAGATAATAACATGTTATGGTTTGAAAAAAGACGAGCCATGAAAAACAAACTTTCAAACTCTTGATTTAAAGGTCAATAAGTGATTTTGTTTACTTTGTTTGAATAGTTGTGAACTTGGAGTTAACTGAATTATCGATGAGAAAATTAGTTTTTCTCATTGTGCTTTCTAAATTATGTGGATATACTTCTCTTATGAAATATCTTTTGTTACTAGTAATATCTGATGTAATAATTGTATATTAGAGTTTATTAGTCTTTTTTCAATCTAAAAATATGTTTTCGGCAGTCCCATGCATTGATTTGTTTACTTTGTGTATTTGTTTTTATTATTCATGTACTGAGGAACCTACTGATTAGTTTGAGATGTTTAATGGTCTCAATTTAGCGGATTGAACTCCGCTTCTAAGTAGTCCTATGAAAAATAGTTTTCAAAATCATAAAAATTCTACATTTACAATACTTAAAATCAATTGCACTCAATTTATCATGCTTTTTCTAGCGGTTCCATTGAAAGTTTTTTTTAAATTCAGTCGTAACCGTTCAAGAAAGAAAAAAAAATAGCATGGCTTCATGATTTTTCATACTACGCAAAAGCGCTAACTAAGCTGTGAATACTAAACATATTTTTAATTTGACGTATTCTTCAGTACATCAAAACGGCGAAGCGATTTTCATTATTTATTTTTTTTACTCTGTTTTCTTCTGTATTACTCTTATTCTTATTTGTTCATGTGCCGCTTGTTTAAAATGTAATCTGGTCCGTTTTAGTTTGATAAGTTGATTTATTTACATCAACATTTTTTATTTCTCTATTTTGATATCTTTTATTTGTATCGTGTGTAGTATAATCCGCCAATTAAATTGTTGAATCATGGTCTGTCCAAGTATACCGTTGCTAACTCAAAGCTCAAGCATAACACGACTATATGGTCTATACTAGTTGCAATTGTATAGTGCATATCACAGACCGTCGCTGGACAGGGCTGCCCTGTTGCCCCAACAAAAAATTCCTTGATTTGCCCTGCGAGAGATTGATTTTTCAGATTTTCAAGCTTCTTTTTAAGTAAAATTTTGAGATCTCTCGTATACGTGAAATAAAAATGACAGCCAACTTTTCTAAAATTGATAATTAATAAAAAAAGATTCTGTTACGCACGAGAAACACATCCAGCATTTGTGATGAGTTTCTTGAAGATAAAGTCTTCTAGGTTAAGAAGAAAAACTTTCTTTTTGCACTGCAGGGCGTCGTACCCAGCCAAACAGGCAGGTCAGGGCCAAAAACTTTTTATGAGTAATCTTTTGACAGAGTAGAGCGGCAGGACAGGACAGGGCGAAAAAGTTGCTCTGCGGCGGTCTCTGGTGCATATTAAACTGATTTTCCAAGAATTTGGTAGACCGAATTTTATCAAAATAGGAATCCAGGACAGAGGTCGGGGAGTTCTTACTCTTGTGGGATAGTGCGTACAAAGTGTCCTAAAACATAAGATGCCAACTTTACGAGAGAGATAGAGAATATTGTACGACTGATTTCACATCCATTGACTTCTGTCATTCATCCATGGACTTCTTTGTGTCAAGAAGAAGAAGAAAAAATTTCCATTTTGTTTTGATTTATATCGCTTTAACGTATTGATTGATCATTATCTGCTTTTATTCGTATGAAAATGACTGTGAACTCTCTAGAGAAAATAATTTTTAATTGTAAGGCTTATTATATCGTTAAAAGAACAGCATATCCTTATTAAAATGAAAATACAAATCATATGTAAAACATTCAAAAAATGTTTTTCCGTCTTTCATAGTAATCCATTAGTCTCTCGGTTTTAGTTTTTGTTTTAGTATTAGAACTGCAACAGAATTAATAACGTTTTAATGTCAACTTCTAAATGGTCAGTGTACACAGTATATTGATAATAGAAACAAAGACTATTGTGCTATTTATCACTTGTTGCTGTCTTTTTTTGACATTTTCCTCAACTTAGAACCATATGAACAATCATGGTATCCGTATATACGATTCTCTTAACTCATATAGTTCTTGTTCGACCTTTTTTTTTTTGATAAACGAATAATAGTAATCATAATAATAATAATAATAATAGAGAGAACAAAAATTGTTCATAATTTCGCTGTTCTTAGTCATCTATTTTTCTCACAATAAGAAATAATAACAAATGGAACAGTAGAAGAATATTGCACAAATATGGATAAAACGGTATGTATAGATTTACTGGAAAAACTATTATTAGATTTTCTAATGTAGGAAAACAACAAAGTCATCTTTACTTCTTTTTTTATGTGATTGAGTAAAGTATTGAAGTGATACCTTGTACTAGATTGAATTTGTGTTAAAGATGACTTATTATCATGTATTTTCTACTGTCGGAGCATCTGAGGCTTTTTTAGGAATCATCCCTTTAACTTCTTCTATCGGCTGAGCCACGCTAACTGAAAGTAGGTCAACGCTGTCATAATTCGCATATGTCTGCGTATATATATATATATATATATACACTCGTCTGGCCAAAATAAGTCGAACACACTTTTTTTAAAATCAGTCCTCCGTATAATGGAAGTTAACTTCCATTATACGGAGGATTGATTTTAAAAAAAGTGTGTTCGACTTATTTTGGCCAGGTGAGTATACATATTATTGATTTGATAATGATTTATCTAAACACCTGTATTTTATCGTACAAGTCAAAATGAGTTGTTTTTAAATCTTGGACAAACATGTGGTTGTATTTCTCTGTCGATCGTTAGATGGATGTATGTGTGCTATACTCAAAGATTGTTGATCATCCGATTTCTTCGATGAGCAATATTTTTATGTTCGAAATCCTTTAATAGACAACTTGTTAATTTATTGTGGCCAATTGATATTTTTTATGTTCAAACATGAGGAAGATATTGTTGTTAATCAGCTAGGTAAACATCTGTACAACTGAAAATAATAAAATATAACGCATAACACAAGATAAAACGATATACTCAGCATACACACACACAATGATACAGTTATGTTAGGAAACAAATATCACAGCATGTGTTTGAGCATTATATGCATAATTTTTTCTTCAAAGTCTGATAAATGATACACATTCTTCTTATCTCCCACATATTGATTATTCTAGTACAAAAGTTCACAAGTTCGAATTTCCTACTAGTATTGTTTAAAAAGTAAAAAATATTTTCATCTTATGTTACCACTAATTACAATCAGTTTATACAAGAAAATGTGCTGAAACGAATGGCAAAAATTGTTTTCGAAATATCTTCTAGTTTACAAGTTACAGTTATTTTATTAAACGAATTCACAATCATTTTTGAAGTGATTTTTAGAAGTTTTCTTTCGCTGAATTAAAAGGACTTAAATATTGTAACAATAGATTCTTATCTCTCAGAGTCTAGAGTTTACAACCGAGATATAAGAGTTGAGACTTATAAAGTGGTCAACTGTAATACCTGTAATCTCATTAAATAGTGTAGAAAGAACTCTCTTATTGCCGCAAGAGTACTAGTTTTTGATTCATTATCTAGTTAACATTTTACACAGATTGTTAAGTGTTTCAATTAACTAGATAAGTATGGGTAAGAAAAAAAAATGAATGAGTTATGAGAGGCAAGAAAAATGCTAAAGTAGAGTTTTGATATGATCGAGCATCGAGTTCGCATTTAGAGACTCTTCATGAGATAAGAAAAAGTTTAGTGAGAGATTTTGAAACAATTCAGTTTATCATATCACTCATAGAAAAAGAAAATTCATTTAGAGTAGCAGAAAAGTGCTTTTTCGTATTCAGTACACTCGATAATGCCGAAGATTTCCTATTTTTAGCATAAGGTACTGCCAAAAGTTCAGGAAAAGTTTTGAAACTAATGTTGTTTTTCCATGGAAAATGTTTTTCGCCATTTTGTTTCGAAATTTTTTCTAAACTTTTGGCAGTACCCCATGCCAAAAATAAAAAATCTTCAGAGTTATCGAGTGTACTAAATACAAAAATGCACTTTTCCGCTACTCTAAATGAATTTTATTTTTTCCTTTGCATTGATATGAATCTAAATATAATCGGATGGATTGAAATCTAGAAGCGCGTTAGTAAAACGGTTGTGTTGGAATCAATGAAAATATTCTGTTTCTTAGTAGATTTTCTGGCGAAGAACGTGCATTAATGATAGTCTTCTTATCATTTCAATGCATAACACAAAAAACGGACATATAATTTATACATTCGCATATGTCACTTCAAAAACTTAGATCTAAGTTCTTGAGGTGACATATACGAATAATCGAGAAACATTTCAGCCGAATAATCATTTGCTTTTACCATTGCTATAATCAGGTGCTATGATAATGATAAAAGGTTTGACATAAATACTATTCGACCATTCGAATAGTATTTATTTATTTTGAGCTTGTAAATTTATCTGATAATAGAAGATTGATTAAAGAACGAGTGCAGTGTATCAGTATCTATGATTTATTTTATATTTTTTTATCCATCTTTTGTGTATAATGACGATATAAAAGACATCCGTGAATATATGTGTTACTCTTTATTGAACCATTTTTCTCTCTCATGTCATATAGATCTTATATTCTTTTCTTCTTATTATCACTTACAAACAAAACATCATTGAGAATATTTAACGTCCCATACATTTGCTGTTCTTGTTCTTATTAATTTGTTATATATGTATCGTTATAGTTATCACATTTGTTATTATATGTGTGGATTGTACAAAGTGATCTTCACCAATAACCATTCCATGCATACTATATTCAAATGAGAAAACTATACGAGTATGAATTAGAATATACATAAATCTTAAGTAGAAGAATAAGACAGAATCGATGAGAGATACTAGTTGTAGAATATTTGAGATAAGTCAAAGAACAAAATTGGATTCTACATTGAATTCCTACACCCAATTTATTTTGTTTGAGAGTATGATGAAAGTTATGGTCAATTTATACAAGAACACAATAATTTTATGACAAAATTTTTATTTTCCAAACTCTAATTGTTCTGTACTGCATGACCATGATACGAATTTCGATCTCAT